CGCGTAACGTAGCGAAATAATTACTCTCTAATGAGGCCCTCTAACACCGAGGCGAACTCAAACGAGAGAGCGCGGCATTTTTTCGAACTTAGTTCGCGGCTTGATTTAATTATCAACTGTTGATTAATGAAGCGTACAACTTCCGCCAAGTTTTACTCGCGGAAACGAGTATAAGAAGATCGATCGCTAAACGCGCTATACAGCTCGCCTTGACTCGAGCTATCGAGCGGTAGCTCATCAAACGAGTTAACACACCCGTGCTATAAGGCCACGAACCGTTTATAGTAGTAAAAGCGAAGCTAATGGCGCGACACAGTTACAGTGTTAAAGAATAATTGAATAAGCGATTACAAAGAGGGAAGTGAATAGAAGTTGTCCCTTCGCTGCTCGCTCGACATTGTCGCGACGTGCGTAATAAATATTTTATTCTTGTCGAGAGCTGCTTGAATTTAGAACGAACGTTTATACTTCGAAAACCGTCAAGAAAGTAGAATGTTTTGTCAGCAAAGGGGTTTCTAGCTCGCCTGTCGATTGCTCTTACTACCGTTCCATCATAGAAGACAGAATACTTTGGTAACTTCGCAGCGTTCAATTACATCGCGGTCTTAATAGGATTGAATTACTTTAAGCGTAACGCCCTGAGTGAACTAACTTGCGACGATATCTGAGCAGCTCGATGGATACGTGTATGAGAGTATGAGAGCTCGCGAGTAGTCGTGGCATTGCCCGCGTCGTAGTAGTGACGTCACTCGGTGATGAGGACGGCTGCGGGATAAACTTAGGCATGTTTGCCGAGCAATCAAATATATGAGTGGAAAGTCTCGTGGGCACTATCGATCGAGGACTCCAAGTCCCTATGATGATGGGTGGTGCACGAGAGAGAGAGATGGTTGAATTGGAGGAAGAAGGAAGAAGGACGAAATGGGTGCGGGAGAAGGCCAGGAAACTCAGCTCGCCACTATGAAGAGTCATCGATTCGATCAGCGCTTGATTACATTCACTATCTGCTGCTGGACGTTATTTATATTATGAAAGTAAAAGAGCATTAGTCTTGATTCAGCAAGCAGACGGAAAAAATTGTTAGAATAGCAAATATAAGAAATATAAGATTCCAAGTATTTCCTACACATCTCTTTATAATCCAAATAATCGACAATTTCTCTAGAATAACTATCGTTAGTTTACTTTAAAAGTGATACAATTGAAAAAACTAATAAAATAATTAATTTTCGAACTATTACTATAAATGAGTTAGATGAAGATTACTCTATCAATCATCAACGTAAACTAACTTCACAGCCTGTTCGTTATATAGTGTCGTTTTTAAGATTTTCAAAGAGATTATAATACTTTCTACAAAAAATGATACATTTGGAACTGCGTTGTTTTTGTAAATAAAAAGGAGAGATTTTTTACAGGGAACATTTAGAATTAAAACAGTTTTAATGATCAAAGTTTGAAGAAAAAAGTTTGTTTTATTTTAAATTTAGCTCTGAGCAAGGTAAATATAAACCGTTCGTAATATTTCTTTTTGAGTTATATTACTTTTGATGAATTATTTCGGATTTGTTATAATTTTTTGTAGAATATTATAATTGTTACACAGTTTAAAAAAGATAGCTTTACAAGGGTTGTGAAACGGAAATGACAAAAATGACGTTTGATGTTTCTAAGGCTCTCTTTGTTGATATCATTTGATTAGCCAACAATTTTTTGTTAAGTTAAAAAATATTGTAGTTTTTTCCTTCTTCTATAAAACTTAACATTTTTAGTTGTGTTTTGAAGTAAGGTAGATATTTTGAGAAATTCGCCTTCGTCTTATTAATAACAAGACATTTTTCCGGTTGCTTTATCTTATATATTTTATATAATTATTATATTATTATATTTTGTATTATTATCTTGTCTTATTTATTTTATACTTCTTTTGTTAGGAACAAAGCAACACACATATATACATATATATAAGTATATCATCTCATTTATAAAAATCTACATGTTTCTTAGATATAAAATCTTTAATATTATTTATTATTTTATTATGAAACATGCGATATATTTTTGATGCACGCAAAAATAGTAGAAAAAACATTATACATACGCGATTTCACATATGGATATATGCGAAATTTCGTGAAATTCGAGTCTTTTATTTTCGCGCGAGCTTGCATCCCGTCGATGCGAAAAACGCCGAACAAAAATCTCAAGTGCGCATCGTTTTCGAGAGATCCGTAAAGAAGGAAAAGATGAGGGAGGAACGCTCTGGAAGCTCCGGCAAATTCTTACGTTCGCCGTATACGACTTCAGAATCTATAGGATTCGACAAGGGACTCGTCTGTACATTTGCCCGATATCGGTCCTTCAAAAATTTCGACCATTTTTCCATCTCGAATTCCCTCGCGAGGCGCTCGACGATAATCGCGAATAATTGTCTGTTCGAATTCTGTCAATTAATATGATAAAAGGAGAATAGAAATGACCGAATTTATACCGAACGAATTAATTGATTACGTATTAATCTACATATTATGCGAATTGTGAATGTATATTCGCATGCGCACGTTAACAGTGGAATCTCGATCCTGGTTAAATATTCGAGGTTTTCGAGATTCAAAGGCCTGATTAATGTAGCGGCATGAGGTTGACATGGCGACATTATCATCGCTACAATGGACGCCAGGTGTTCCAGACAGGAAGGGCCAGAGAGGCAAGGAGTATAATGCCGTCAAGCAACGCCACTTAATGAGCTGCCGGGAACAAAGCGGGAAGAACCGCTTTGTCATTTTTTTTTCCTGCTCCAATTACTTAGCGTTTTAGAACAGTTGTACGTGATTATCTTTTCTTTACTCCGCTTCATCTAACACACCTCATGCGGAATGTACCAGTATTCTTTCACGGAAATTGATTTGCATAAAACGAATAATATAAGTTCTACGTAATATTTTTTACACCAAGCGCGACGTGCGATTCGTGATATTCTCGTATAATTCATCATTCAAAGTTTGGAAAGGTGATATATCGATCGAAGGTCTAAAATTGTCCGCCTATTCCGACTTTCTTGTGTCATATCGTTCAAGGAAGCAAGAGATGGGAGTTCGAAACTGTATGTCGAAGACGGGGGCTGCCGAGATCAGAGGATGGTCCAGGGCTTAGGAAAGGGCTAGGGGCGGGTGGGCACGTTATCTTGTCGTACTTCAGCAAGCACGGGGGGATGGGCGTCCTCTTTTCGCCCTAATTCCCTTCAATCCCTGATCCATCCCATCCCCTAGAAGCATATCGCAATCGAGTTTCGTTTATTTTTCAAGAGGCATCCGTTCGACAGAAATTGACGAGTATATTGGACGATATTCGATCTTCGAAAGGATTAATCTCTCTCTCTCTCTCTCTCTAATTTTTTAAAAAAGCGTTACCACTTTTACCAACGTTACGCAATTCTCGCGTACGCTCGCAATGTGTTTCGCTTCGGTTTCGGCTCTAATTCTAACGCTGTTACGTTAAATTTAATTATTACTTTCGCCGATTAGTTTTTTTCACGAGGCGAAAAATTCGAGGCGTCGATCGAATCAAATTTACTAGCTATAAAACTCAACGTTTCCCCCCCGAAAAAGAAGAGAAGAAAATAAACCGATACGATATCGCCTGCTATCGGCATAAAATACCGTTTGGGTATCGCCATATGACGCGACCTCAATGCACGGGAAACTCCTCCAAGTTTCTTGCCCCGAGATGGTAACATCGAGAGGTTTATTTTTCGAACAAGTCCGTTTCGACAGATCGAACGATCCGGTGGATTATTATCTCGTTTATACGACGCCCGCGCAAAGGATGACAACAATGCGGCGCATCGTTTTCCTAGCGACGATACAAATAGTTATTGCACGAAACCGCGATCACACCGTCGTCCCGGATTACGAAGCGCGTTGTCCGCGCGCGGTAAACATCTTTTATTAAAGTGCAAGTTGCGCTCCGCTGGCGCGTCAATTTTTCAAAGAGCCCCCGAGCTCTTTGTCTTCGCCGCGTCTCCATCTAACTACCGGCGATGAGCGCACGTGGCAGGTGGTAGGAGAGAGCGATTAATCGTTCCATCATCTCTCGTCGCGGACAGCCTCGCTCCTCGATGACAATGGCGGAAACGGAACTCCCCCCCCC